AGCAGCAACGCCGGCGCCGCGTCCGCACCCGAGTCACGTACCAGCCTCTCCAAGACTCGACCAACCCTCGAGGGGCTCACTCGTTGCGAACGCGGCCTCAGTCGCGGACGCCGCCGTGCCGGACCGGCTGCCCCGTCTAGAGATACTCCGCCACGCCCTGCCACGCCCCTCCTCGCCCTTCCTCGCGCCGCCACGCTCTTCCTCTCGTCATGCCCTTCGGGCCATGCAGGCCCCGATACAGTCGGTTAGCAGTTCTGGTGAACTCCCTGCTGGACCCTTCTTTCACAATGGCAATGCGAATGTGGTACGTGAAGGCAGTCGGGAATCAACTACCTCGTCTGCTCGTTACTTCTCACCCATCTGGTGTCAGTGAACGTCACGCAACGTCAGCCGTGAGGTGCACGGAGTCTAAAGACAACATCCCCGACCAATCGACAAATCCGTACGGCTGTAAATGACGCATCGTAATAGTAGATGAGGTTTGTCCGTGTGAAACAGACTGAACGTTAACTCAGAAGACATGTATGAAGCCGATACTTCAGAATCACTTCGTTAAACTAGTAACGGTAAAACAGCGCATCCTGTATTATTTGTCACATTTATGAAATATAATATTGCGACATAAATTCTAAGATGTTTGACTTTTCAATTTCTGAAGAAACACGATTTTTCTATAATGAAAGTCGAACTCACACCGAATAAATTCTCGCACTTTTAATTATGCAAAGAAAATAGTTTTGAAAAATTGCTCGAGCTGGGAACAAAGCCTCCGTTTTACGTTAGATCTACTAAAGAGGGCAATAGATAACAATAGCATGCTCACCACGTGAGCAAATTGCAAGGACACAGAAAATGCGACGAAGGTAACGAGTACAAGGCACATGGTGAAACAGTGGGCTGTGAAGAAGGTTGTCTTAGGGGGTTTCACAAATACTGTGCGGGGTCACAGAATGAGAATTCGACATCCTTAGTAGAAGTTTGTGCAGATTCATGTGGGGACGGGGACTCGGAGACGGGGGCGGTGTGTGTCAGTTTGTCGGTGTGTGGGTCTGTGCATCTGCGCCCGTCTGCGACCGCCTGCCCGCTGGTGGCTGTACAAAAACGCACGGGCAATGACCACTTGCTCATATGGGGACGTGCGCGAAGACTGGAGGCTTTTTTATTAGGAGGCTAAGGTCATTAGTCTCGTAAACGTAGAGCCCCCGCTGGATGGCGAGATACGGCGCCGACCTACCGTCGGCCAGCGGGGGTTTTCCCAAATAGGCATCTCGCACCAGTGGTACACCACCACAGCCGGGACAAGCTCCCGACCGGTCTTTCGGAATGTGTGGCAGTGCAACGCATGTAAGTGTGTATAAGTAAGGGGTAGGATAGGACAAGGAATGGGAAGAAAAGATCGCCCGCGGTCCGCGGCTTGCTTGGTTGGGTACTGCTCCAGCATTCGCCTGTTCGGAGAAACCACGAAAAACTACCGATCAGAGCAGCCAGCCGCTCAGCCAGATTCAAGCCAGGGCTCTTTGCAGGTCAGTTCATTACAGGGATGTTATTGTCGTGTAACCACCCCGCCACAGGCCGTGCAGTATGAAGAGGTACTCGATCGTGTTGAAAGATGCAATCGCCATCCCCGAATTGCTCTTCAACAGTGGGAAGCAAGGTTTTTAAAACATCAATGTAGGCCTGTACCGTGATAGTGCCACACAAAACACGGGACGCAAGCCCCCTCAAAGAAAAACATGACCACACCATAACACCATATTGGACATGTCCTGATACTTTTGATCACATAGTGTATATCAAGTGCTTGCGTTTGAAATCTCTACGAGATTTGTATGAAATAGTAAAAGCGAGTAGAGGAAAGGATGAGACAACTTAGATATAATATTACTGTTCGCGAAGCTTTCTAAAGAGGGAGTCGAAAAACGCGCATTAGGAGACTAGTGTCGAGAATGAGAAAAATATTGTACGCACCCACAGTATAGCATCGAAAATAGAAATACACTCGGAGCCATAGTTATGCGCAAATGGGGACAGAGGGGGCCATGACCTCCTGAAAATTTCGAGAAGGATCCTGCTGTCCCCTGTAATAAATCATTTTAATTTCCGTAAATATGATAAATTCGTGGATTTCCCCGTGAAAGTTTGGGGATCAGATCCATGACATTTGGAGAAGAAGCTCTCCAAACCATCTCTGTAAATTGTTCAACATAAAATATATTTCCAGATGAAACCAGATATTTCGTAACTTTTTATTTCTCATTATAAAAGATAATTATACCTCAACCTGTAAAAATTAAAAATACATCGAGAACTTTGCTGCTATTATATATTCGAATTTAATGACATAGTCTCAAGTTATTCCTATCAACCTTATCGGAACCTTTTTATCGAAATTGCCAGGGCCCGAAGGGTTTTACAGCTCATGTGCCTCCAGCGAGGCAGGTCAAACGGCTCATGTCACAATTGCGATGAATGACAAAAATCACTCGAGTTAGTTCTCTCCGGATGCCACGGATCAGTATGCGATAGGGCTCTGAAGGAAATCGTCCAGTCAAAAGGTCCCAGCCAGATATTCCGGAAGTTTTTTTCTCAACGATTCTATGTTTTTGAGGGTGCTGAATTCGAATTTGATGTTTGTCACCTCAAAAAAGGTCGGCTTCTCAGAGAAAATTGCAAAAACCCTAAAAATTTCGTTCTGTTTTAGTTTTTCATCTATATCGTCAAAAGTGTGCGTTTTATCGAAACAATTGTTATTTATAAAATTAAAGTAGATAAAATTTCATACAAAGCGCATATATTTCCTTTCATGCACTGCTGATGCACATGCTTATTTTATGTGCATGAAAGCACTCATCAGTCCCCAAAGAAGACAGGAATTCAAACCATAATCAGGCCCTGATGTAGATTCAGCGAAGCAAACCATATTTAGTTTTCTTGGAAACAGTGACGAGAAATATCAATTTACCAATGACGAATTGATAAAATTGATTGAAAATTATTTTCTTCCACGTCCAAAAATAGTTAAAGCACGAGACCTAATGGTGTATGTTTCAAGGATTTACAGATACCCCACGCGAGGAAATATGTTCTTACTGATTATATGAGTATCAGAGTGTTAAATCATTTAACAACGCCAATTATTTGTTCACAATAGCTGTTTTATAGCATCATAAAGTGAAATTAGTGCGAAAATGTTCGCACCCTTACGGAAGTCAGTTATGACAAAAATACAGATTCGTAAATTAATAGACACGACAGTGATAGGATTCCAAACCCAATGAAGAGAGGCTTGTAGGAATCATGCAGATGACATTGCAAGGTACGAGGATATCCAATCCAGAATAATAACATCAATTCCATATTAAGATAATTTTTAAAGCAAACTATCAATGATGTCAAAAGCTTTCGAATTATGCATAAATATTCTCATAGATGCTTCATTTTCATTCATTGATAAAGCAACATATTTAAAAAAAGCAAATACGTTTGTTTCCATAAGATATTGGTTTACTAAATTCATGTTGAGAGTTTGAAAACATCAAGAAAAATTTCCATTTGTATACAGAAAAGTCTGTAATATTTTTGAGGAAACTGACAAAAGAGAAATGGGTGAAAATAAATTTTAAATTTCATTTTTGTCCCCCCC